TTTTTTTTTTGAGACAGAGTCTTACTCTGTCGCCCAGGCTGGAGGGCAGTGACGCCATCTCGCCTCATTGCAACCTCCACCGCCCAGGTCAAGCAATTCTCCTGCCTCAGCCTCCCGAGTAGCTGGGATTACAGGCATGTGCCACCACACCTGGCTAATTTTTGTATTTTTAGTAGAGGCAGGGTTTCACCATGTTGGCTAGGCTGGTCTCCTCTCCTTTTTTTTGAATACAGGTGCCCCGTTTGGTTTATCTTTTGATTGAGATGTGGTTATAGAGAAATATTTCTCAACTATAAGGAAAACGGCTGTGCAAATGTGATAGTGAATGGCCAAGGACATACAGTCTTGGTGTCAAGGTGGCAATAGGGAGTGGTGGGGACTGTGGCAAACTGGGCCCTGAATCCTGGTTGCTATAAGAAGGTGGACTGGTGGCATCAGATAGTCTAGTCTTTCAGGATAAATGTAAATCCTTATCTGTTAGTTTCCTAGGGCTGCCTTAACAAAGTACCACAAAATCAGTGGCATAGAGCCACAGAAAAAGGCCAGGCACAGTGGCTCATGCCTGTAATTCCAGCACTTTGAGAGGTCAGGCTGGGTGGATTGCTTGAGCCCAGGAGTTTGAGATCAGCCTGGGCAACATAGCAAGACTCTGACTCTACAAAAAATTTTAAAAATTAGCTGGATGTGGTGGTGCCTGAAGTCGCAGCTATTTGGGAGGCTGAAGCAGGAGGACTGCTTGAGCCCAGGAGGTCAAGGCTATAGTGAGTCATGATTGCACCGCTGCACTCCAGCCTCAGTGGCAGAGCAAGACCCTCTCTCAAAAAAAAAAAAAAAAAAACCACACAAAAAACAAGAAGGGAAAAGAAGTGTATTGTCTTAACAGTTCTAGAGGCCAGAATGCTGAAATTAAGGTGTCGGTAGAGCCATTGTCCCTTCCTCTAAAACCTATAGCAGACCCTTCCTTTCCTTTTCCTAGCTTAGAGCAGTTTCCCAGCAATCTTTGGTGTCCTTGGTTTGCAGCCACCACTCATGCTAGATCAGGTGTCTATACTACTTCAGTGTGACCTCATGATCATTTAACTACATCTGCAGTGATCCTATTTCCAAATAAGTCACATTCTGAAGTACTGAGGTTAGAACCTCAACCTGTCTTTTTAGGGGATACAGTTTAATCCATAACACGTTACTTTATGTGAAATTGAAGGACATAAATGTTGGATTTTAAATGTCCGTAACACTGTGGTCTGAATACAGGTTGGGCATCCCTAATCCAAAAACCCAAAATCCAAAATGCTCCAAAATCTGAAATTTTCTAAGCACCAACATGAGGCCAGGGAAATTTCACACCTGGTCTTATGTGACAGGTTGCAGTAAAAACACGGGCCAAACTTTGATTCATGCACAAAATTATTTAAAATATTATATACGATTTCCTTCAGGCTATGTATTATATATAAAGTGTGTATGAAACAAATGAATTTCATGGTTAGACTTGGGTCCCATCCCCAAGATGCCTTATTCTGTTTATGCAAATATTCCAAAATCTGGAAAACATCCAAAATTCCTTCTGGTCCCAAGCATTTCAGATGAGGGACACTCAGCCTGTAAAATATATACCTGTGGGCCACGTAAAATATAGCTATGGGTGCAATTTGGCTCCCAGGCTGCCTCCTGGTTGCCTTTACTGCAGTGTTCAGATAATGCCACTTAGAGTGACCTGGCTCATTGATGATTTGCTAGGTCCTGGATTTGTGGATGAGTGGGTATTTACACAATCTCATTGAATTCTCACAGCCACCTCGTGTACTTGGTATTATTTTTTCAATTTTACAGCTATAGAAGACATACAGATATAAAATATAGAAAAAACTCAGAGAAAAATTAAATTGACAAGGCTGAGTTTCAAACTCAAGTCTGAGACTGCGAGTCCCAAGCTTTTCCCACCAAGCCGAGTCGAACACGGGCAAATCTCTGCACATCGACCTTGGAAACTCAGAAATGGGTGGTGGTTTGAGTAGAGCTTGTTTATATTTATTTATTTGTTTATTTTATTTTTTGTTTATTTACTTATTTTTTTTTGAGATAGAGTTTTGCTCTTATTGTCTAGGCTGGAGTGCAATGGCACGATCTCGGCTCACCACAACCTCTGCCTCCCAGGTTCAAGCGATTCTCCTGCCTCAGCCTCCCAAGTAGCTGGGATTACAGATGTGCCACCACGCCTGGCTAATTTTGTATTTTTAGTAGAGATGGGGTTTCTGCATGTTGGTCAGGCTGGTCTTGAACTCCCGACCTCAGGTGATCCACCTGCCTCAGCCTCCCAAAGTGCTGAGATTACAGGTGTGAGCCACTGCGCCCATCCTATATTTAAATATATACTTTTATAGAAGACATAGAACCACATTATAGAATATCTGGGGGAAAAAAAAGTGATCTATCACCTGCGGTGCCTCCCCGGCACATTGGTGTTGCTATTTTAATTCATTTCACCAGCTGGAACTGCGGTATGCACATTTGCACCCTGGATTTTATTTAACATTAGACTGCCAGCCTTTATCCCGTGATAGCTGTCATTGTAAACATAAATTTTTATGGCTACATAATCTGTGGAGGAGATGGGCCATAAACTGGTTTACTGTTCTGTGATTGTTGGGCACATTGCTTTCAGCTCCTCGGCACTACGAAGGATGCTGCAATAAATGTGCTTCTGTTGACGCAGACAGCTCTTTCTGGCCCAGCTCTATTTTATTCCCTGACTGTTGAACGTGTCATTAAGTGACTACACCATTATTTAGCTACCCTTTCCCCTCCCTTTGGACTTGCTGCTTCTGTAAATGTCGCCACAGCAACCAGCTTTTGTCTGGAAAGCTGTGTCCATAATCAGAATCGTGTCTATGCATCGATTCCCCAAAGTTGAAATGTGGCTCAGAGGGCGAGAAGCCTTTGACCAGAGAGCATCGCTCCCACCCCACCCCACTGCGTCACGGAAAAGTTGCACCATGCGGCACTGCTGCTGGGAGTGTGTGTAACAGCTGTTTTCACCATGGGACATACGTTTAAAAGGCACAAATCTAAAGATTGTGCAGTTTGTCCCATTAACGGGATGTGCTGTGGCATTACGCACCCCATAGAGCTTCCACGTGGGGTTTTGAAAATCCATTGTTGAGCCAATACTTTATTTTTAAAATCTATGTCAGAATGCCTGGAATTAAACAGAGGTTTCTCTCCCCCCATCTTCCTGATTTATTTATTTATTTATTTATTTATTTTTCTTTCTTTCTTTCTTTCTTCTTTTCTTTTTTTGAGACAGACTTTTTACTCTTGTTGCCCACGCAGCAGTGTAATGGCATGATCTCGGCTTGCTGCAACCTCTGCCTCCCGAGTTCAAGTGACTCCCCTGCCTCAACCTCCCAAGTAGCTGAGATGACAGGCATGCGTCACCACACCTGGCTAATTTTGTATTTTTGGTAGAGACGGGGTTTCACCCTGTTGGCCAGGCTGATCTCGAACTCCAGACCTCAAGTGATCCACCTGCCTCGGCCTCCCAAAGTGCTGGGATTACAGGCATGAGCAACTGCACCTGGCCATTCTTCCTGATTTCTGAATGTGTTTATGGGAGGAGAAATTCACAAAGGGTTAGAATTGAATCGTGATTTGCTACATTGCCTGTACGACGGGGAAGGACGGGGCTGCGCCTGTCCTGCCCACTGTGGCCTGTTCACTGCCTGGCACAGAGTAGGTGTTGACTAAAATAGTCCCTAAATAGTTGTCGGCTAAATAAGCGAATGGCCTTTACTGGAAAAATGTACTTGTATGACACTGGATTGTCCCAGAAGAACGACGATGCGTGGTCACTTTAATGAAGATAGTCCTGGGTCATTAGGAGGCCGAATTTGGGGATCTGTGTAGAAACTTTCCTGAGTAGGTTTAGGGTCTTTTCTATTCACTGTTTCCTGGGCCCACCAGCATTTTTTCTTTTTCTCAAGATTCAGTGTAGACTTCAGTGTGGACCAAGTTTTCTCCCACGTTCCTACTTAATCCTGGCATTGTGCAGGGCTGGATGGAATTGGTACTTGGATCCATCTGGGCCCAAGCAGGTTTTGTGATCCAGGGTTGCCTTTCAGGCCTAAGAAGCTTCTTTTCCTTCCCTACCACAGGCCACAGGCATTCAGTGCACTTGACTTTCTGTATCTGTGGGTTTCATATCCATGGATTCAACCAACCTCTGACTGAAAACATTCAGGAAAAAAAAAAATGGAGGGTTGTGTCTACACTGAACATATACAGACTTTTTTTCCTTTTCTTTTTTTTTGAGACGGAGTGTCGCTCTGTTGACCAGGCTGGAG